TCCTGTTGCCGTGGTCTAGACTGACCTGATGAAGGGATTGTACTAAGTACTTTGGGATCTTCTTCTGTTTGCATGTTTCCCTCAAACCAACGAATACGTTAGGATCCCGTGACTATAATACCAGTAGGGACACGACCAATCTTGTCAGGCAAGAGTGGTGGGTCATGAGGTTAGATTCATCTCTTGTAATGTGTGCAGCATCTGCTTTTTCTGCGGTCACTAACCTGTCAACGACCGTAATGTGATCTCTTCAACGGGAATAGATTGCACAGTCCGAAACAGCACAGTCTTGAAAAGTTGATATCCAAAAGCAGAAACATCAGTCGACACATGCAGCATGTTGTCATTGCACGGATCAACGCTGTGGTGCCCTCAGGCCTCACTGTCCCATGGTGAAGGGCCTCTGTGACAATCACACCTTGCGCAATCTCCCAAAGAATCGTCTACGCTGCACTTCGTCTTGAGGATTGGGTCACTTCCAACTTCACAGCCCTCTGTCAGTGTGACAAGGTGATGGCGTCTTGCTTATGCTAATGTGTGCTTGGTCCTTCTCTCCCTGAGCCCTGACCGAGTGGACTGTGCTTGGTCCTTCTCTCCCTGTGCTCTGACCGAGTGGACTGCAAGCTGAACTACCAAGTAGAACTAAAGATAGAACTGGGAGTGAGTTGCTGGCAGTCAAGGACTCTCCACTTTGCTGGCTATACTTGACCTGAACCTACACCTGGGTGGCAGCTCTTTCTGAGCCTGCCTGCTGACTATCTGCTGTCCTGCCAACAACATGATCAGCATTGTGCAAACAATACAGCAATCATTTTACTTGGCTTGGCTGGATGGGTCGACAGGATATGGAGTGCGCCAATTAGGGATATCCGGCACAGCTCCCACCTTTGCCTGGCCAATGATGAGACCGTACTAATTATGCCCTCTGTGGAGTAACGACCACTCTGACAAGGAGGACACTATTGCGGTCAGAAAGAGGTGCCAAGGGCTTTAAAAGGCCATGGACAGTGTAGACCTGCGGCCTTGGGCTAAACCAGTGTGGAGTATTATGATAAGTCATTAACGGTGCTGGACTGAGGTAGTCATCTAACATACATGTACGTACATGCAATGCTTTGCTAGCCAAGACAAGAAGTAGCAGTACTCGCAGTGGCAATACTCGGACCACTATATAAATGCTACAGTCCGAACAGTATGATCAGCTTGGCATAGGCATGCTTTGCAGACATCATTCAGGGACAGAGTCGCATTCACACATCGGGAGTGTGAAATCGGAGACTTGGTACTGGATCAATTGTGATGGGAATGCATGGATTGGAAAGTTCGTCAGCGATATGTGGCGCCATGTAGTATCCCAGCATGTAGCAATTTCAGTATGTGGAGTTCTAGAGTGAGTCAATGTCTTCAGTAACACTACGTTCTACTAGTAACTATACTTCCTGGTCACAGTGATGAAATGTGGCAAAACACTGTACAGATCACCAAGACCGTCCACTCCACTCGCCCAATGCAATCATGCCAGTGTCTGTTTCAGTGGTATCGTGCCCAATGAACAGTTTGCATGGGGAGGCGTGGGAGGTCCCGATTGCCCTCAGGGCCTTTTCAGCATCAAACCATGCAGATTTGTTGTTGGTGGCACTCTGGGCTGGCCTGATCAATTGCATTGTGCCATGCTCAAGTGCAGATCTCCAGCACTTTGCAGTGTCCTTTTGTGTTGCGCTGTGCTGTTTGCCCCTGGTAAATTGCCCCACTGTCCAGCACTTGATCGGAGCAATAATGAGCCCGACATCACCACACTATCCATACCATAGCGCTACTACGGTACTATTACATAGAGCACTAGGATATAATTCATAAGCACTCCTGCCGACCTACTAAATAGTAGTACTAGTTTCTGGTAGGGCAGTGCATTTGTGTTGGGAAAGCTACATGTACATGTAGCTCTGGTGTGCTACACTGCTCAACTACAAAACATCTCTTGAGTTTACTTCTCGCCTGATGGGATTCAATTCCAGGAGACACGTTGGAATGACTATCTGGACAACTCACAGTTCTCAATGTGCATTCCAAAACGTGATATGGACATATGGGTCCATCCCAGAGTTCCAAAAGGCAAGTCACGGATGTCAGGTCAAATATTCACTAGCTGAGGGAATGGAAAAGGATGTCTGGTCAATAAATATTTGCGGATACAGTACTCAGGGTGGGTTGTGGAAGAGAAAACTGTAAAAAAAAATGAAACTTGAAAAAGAACTACACATGGTTTCAATTGGCACCTGGCAATCATGTTTCTTGTTGCTGTGGCTTCATACTTGGAGATGTAGATCTGATGTTTTACAGTTCCAATGTGTAGCGACTTTCCTAGCATTCGTCATTCAAAGACAATTTAGAAAAGGTCCCCATTGAATCCTAAATAAAGGAGGATACTGAGACGCCAGCTTTCAGCACCCGCTTATCTCTACGGGTAGCTGTCTGAAGGACATTGACAGAGTTCTTGAAGTACGAATACTGAGTGGTTCCCTTGGGTTGAAAGCAGTCCGTCTGGCATATTTGCCCAGACAGAGAAGGCCACGCTCACAAGCTGCCTGATAAACTGGAAGAAGAACCGGTGTGGACATTATCAGGGCACAAATGTGTACGCGTGTACGTGTGTACGTGTGTGTGTGTATGTGTGTGTGTGTGTACATTACGGCTCTACCGATGATTTCACTATGTGAAGATATAACGCCTGACTGTACAAGCTGTAGCATTGGAATTGGCAGGCGGGTAGACGAGGGTTAGGCCATACGTGCTGTTTGGAACTGTTTCAAACTTCCAGTCTAAAATTAATGTTCTTTGAATTGAATACAGATGCTACTAAGGTCTGCTGATTCGGTAGCAAGAAGATCTCTGCCACAAGACGTGTAATCAGATTGCCACAGGGTAAATTCCTGGTGGAAACATGCTGACGGGTGGTCTAATATACATGCATGTAGTTGGATGCATCGAGTGTTCCCAATCGTCCATGGGTTCCACTATCTCTTGTAAGAGTGCTGAATTCATGCTGGTTTAGTACCCAACAAAAATCCAGAGCATTCTTCTCCCATTGCCTTCCCTGGCACAGGAATGACAGGTGTATGGTAAACATTGAGTGTTCCCAAAAACACAGTTCTGCTCCAATTGGAGACATACGAATGTCAGAATTGCCTGCGTTCCAGTGGCAAGATAATTCATCGCCTGCCAAACGTGCAAGCAAGCCCCTGGGGGCATGCAACACGCTTGACAGTATCAATGTCCCCCCAGAGTGGTATCAGTAGCCTATACTAGTACTTGCTATAAGTTAATAAGCCAGACTGTAGTGATAAGTACCCCTGTAACTTGCACATTCACAGCCGAACATACTCACATCTTAACTACAATGTAAAAGCACGAACGTAACATACTCGTGCAAAAAAACGTTATCGTTGCATGGAAACATAGGATAATCTGATGAGGCACAGCGTTCACGTGCTGAACTCTTCCCGGCCTGTGCAAAGATCTGCTAATTACCTTGCATCAGATGCTGGAATAGTTAAGGCCATCTTGATGTAGTACTCGGCAGTTAGCAGCCAATAGCGGGATCTTATCAGTTCATGTATCTCTCTACATTATGCATCTCAGCACGCCCACCATGTATCGCAATTGTCTCCTCTCGCGTTCCTCTCTACACGCGAGACGTCATCATTGGTAGCACTGTGCAACCGGCTGTGTCAGGCTGAGCAGGCAAACTCAGCCTTGCATGCTCCATCACACGTTCCCATGTACAGGGGCTTAAACTTATCTTTAAAAACAACACTGCTGTTCCGTCAAGAACGTTCTGATAATCTTGGTGCAGCACCTGAGAGGGAGAGAGAGAGCGGAGAGAGAGCGGAGGTAGCAAAACCACTTTGCAGGGTGGCGCAAAGGGCGAACTCAAAGTGATGGCGGCTTGTTGCCTGGTCCTTTTGGCGAGTGCCCATCAAAGGATGCGCAAATGGCAGGCTGACAGAGTACCAGTCTACTACAAGACAAGATGAATTGCTGCCCCACGTTCCTCTCACAGCGGGTTGCCAGCCAAAGGACACACATTCCCCTCTACATTCTCTAGGCATATCCAGCTAGCACGAGGAAGGCATGCACGCAGCCATACTATTCCATAGCCAGTGTGCATTCCTGGCCTGGTGTTTTCCTGATGATCTGTATCATCTCCCTGATGAGGAAAACCAACGCAGAGTAACCAGAGACTTAAAACCTCATAAGCACCCATACAGCTCCGTGAATCTGCCCAAACACAACATGTGTGTGTTTTATCTAGTTGGATAATGGTAAACTCCAAGCACATCATCAATCTAGTCCAGGACATTATCCAGTTTGGCTGGCCACTGGCGAAGCATGGCTTGGCTGTTTTCCAGATGCTGACAAAGATGCCACAAAAACCTACTCTCAGGCACTCACTGAGCAACCACTCCGCACTGGACACTCACAATGGGATAGAAGAGGAGCCTTTGACCTGCTTGAGGGCCTCCTTGTTGACCGCACTAGGAGCTCACATTAAACACATAAACAAGTACTCATCGTGCGTGATGCAGACAATAATACCTACTATTCCGTATTCAAGTGTACGCAGCTAGCTGCCTACAAACACACACACACACACACACACACACACACACACACACACACACACACACACACACACACACACACACACACACACTGATGTGGAGTCGAAAACCAGATGACGGTTCTGGGATTGATTCCTGATTAGCCGCCACTGCTGCTGCTGCTGCCCTGATGTTGCGGGGGCGAATTCCAGGGTGCCATGCGGTCAGCCATGATGGATGTCTGCACCAGGCTCAGCAGTATTCCTCCCTATTCACCCCTTTCCTGTGCTATCTTCAAACCTCGTGGCCATTGCTCCTGACACTTACAAGTAGGTATAAAAGCACCCGTCCTTCTTAGTCTAATCATAAACGTCTTCTTCAACTTTCTTCTCACTGCAGAGTATTGCACACGACTGTGAGGACAGTGACAGAGGCTGAGAAAGCCATGGCCCCGGATCTTCTACGCCAGCTCCTGCTGCAAGTGTTCATGGCATTAGCTGTTAGCTGCCTTGTTCTCTGCACTTCCACAGCAAATGGTAAGTTCTTCCTTGTTCATGTAGGGTCACTTTCTCTGAGATGAGGAAAGGAGAGCTGATGCAGATCACTCAGATATATGCTATGACCACTGGTATGCGCATTCACCCCCTGCCCTGGAAAATTTCTCCAGTGATTTTGCTTTCTACAGACAGCCAGGGAGCAGAGCTTGCTAGGCATCTCTTCTCTGCCACCCTCAGTAGGAATCGGGTTCAACTGGCAAGATCTTAGGCTCAGGCGTGCTAACAAGACCGCACTTACATCATCTTCTAATGAATCTCTCTTTGCTGGTTCTGCTATAGGTCAACCAAGAGGCCGACAGCAAGCAGAGATCAACTGCCAGGCGTTTGCCGTACGTCGTGAACTAGCCATCGACGGCTTCGAAACAGAGCAGATCAATGTTGGCGAATGCCGTGGATACTGTCGCCAGGGCAGCCAAGTGGCCGAGGGCAAGCTGAAGTTCCGAAAGAAGCGTAAGGTGTTCAAGCTGAGAGTGGACAACAAGTGTGAGTGCTGCCAGGTGACAAAGCTACAGCTGTACGCACAGCGACTAACACCGCTTGCTGCTGACGCTGTTGCGACGGCGGACGACGAGAATGGCCTGGAGATCACGGAGAGCAGAATACCACAGGAGTCGATGGATATGGTGCATCGGCGACGAGACGCGACCACCAACGAGTGGTACTACGAGGCGCATGTCCACGTGGTCGGAGGCTGCGGCTGTGCACGCTGCAACGACACCATCAAGCCGCGGGTGCCGATACACGAGTACATGCACACGCTCTCAGAGTTACAGCTCGAGGCCACTGCTGCCCCCACCGCCGGCACAACCCACGAATACCCTACACACCTAGCAGTGGATGAAAGCTAGCCAAGACATTACCAGCCCAGTACAGTGCTTGTTGCACTCCCTGAAACGTCTGCTCAGTGCTCAATACTTCAACCAAGCTCATTTACTCTCAAATTTCTATATAATTATCAGCTACAAAAGAGCACCGTAGGCCTTGAATGAATAACATCTGCAAATATACATGACCATGTCATATCGCCGGACCTATCATAACCCCATAATGACTTCAGTTTGACAGCTAGACTAATGGCCACTCCGTACTTCAGTTGTGCAGTGCGGCACCCAGGAAAGCGGGCACATGCGCAGGACAACGGTCACAAGATCCTGTACGAAGAAGTTGAAGTGAAGCCGATTATCACGGTGCGATGTGGTTCCTTAGAAACTTTCCTGTACATAAACTGAAGTATAACTCCACAACTATCATCCACATCTCGCACACAGCTCGCATTCAACTATCTTGTAATTGATTTCGAGCCACAGAGGTTATACTAATCGCAGTGTGAGAGAACAGAATTACAACCTGTAGGTTATTTACTCGCCTACACTTCAATGAGACCACTAACTGGCATTCTCTGAGCGAAAGGGACATAATCGATGTTTGAGCTCTACAATATCTGTTGACAGCACACAGCTTTCTTCTCTATTACAGAATCTAACCTCAATTAAAGTCACATGCATAACCTGCAACACGTTATATTATTAATGATAGCGTGCATAGACCTCCGTCCTACCGGTTGGACCATCATACACAGACATGCATACGGCCTCTGTTCTGACATTGACCTAAACTTTACCCTAAACTGTTGCCAAGGGGCTAATGAAGGAGTCCACAAATTTTGGATTGTACATAACAAGGCATAATTATAACGAAATTCCATGGCAACAGCCCATGGTAACCATGAAAACGGAGCATGGAATTTTGCATTCCACTGCCATGGCAAGCTGAGAAAGACATTAGGTCCTCATCACGATCGATTTGCTATGGTCAAAATTCACTTTGGACAGAATTTCTAGCGCTCCGACAGGAGCATGTGCGGCCATTTCGACAACTGATAAAATCGCACATATGCGATGCACTGGACATAGTCTTGCATTTTGCGCCATTACGTTGCCCTACAAAGACCTCATCTCAGCTATTGTTTCAAGAAAGGTCTCTACCAAAAGCACTTTTGCGGCGCAATTTCTTGGGTCCTACCGGTAGGACGGCATGCAAGCTGTCATTAAGTTAACCGGCACCTCGAATTCTGCCTGCAGGATGAATGTACCACCGTGAAACCTACCCTAACCGGACTCCCTTGGTGACCCCCTTGGTGCAGCAGAAACTGTCCAGATATGACAGTACTTCGCTTGATCCAGGGATGCATGTTCAATCCACAGCACTTTGGTGTATAAAAATGTGTCCGGTCAGTACAGGATTCCGCTTGGTACAGGGTCCGGCAAACACAGGTTTTACTATAGATATAACTTAGAAGTTGCGACTTCGGCGGTATTAGTGATGAAGTTGGTTGTTCCAACGAGGAACACACGCTTCCTGCCGAACTTGCAACTAATACTTGACTGGCTCACGACTGCCATCCAGAGCACACGAGGAGCACGTTGCACCTTCCACTCGGCAAACCTGCAAGAAAGCACCACTCCCGGCTGCTCAATACCAATTATTGCATTTCGTAAATTTTGTAAGGCTCCCGCTACTTCCGAAATTAAACGTTTTAACATGTACTACAACTTGTAGCCCACGATCAATGACACTTACGAAAGTACTTAAGTAGTTAGATGATTCAGTTACGTACGATCGTACAAAGTGTTCTTTTTCTCAGTTTACGAATACTAGTATTCGCTTTATAATTGATTTACAGTATGACTATGGGTGTTACTTGACCTAGCTAGAGCTGTAGTATACAGTGTAGAGGGGAGGGCAATGCAAATAGCTGTTACAATCAAGATTATGTACAAGTAGGAACATGAAGGCCGGCTGTTCAGACACAGCAGAAGACAACACAATAACATAGGAACTGAATAGTTCTGCATCATGGCTGGCATAGACGTAGTACAGGCTGCCCAGACATCCTGCTCCGGCAACATTGAGCATTATCATAACCTTGGTTTCCATTGCCAACTAAAATCAAGCTACGAAATAGAGGTGGCAACTATTACTTCGACTGACTCGTCTGAGCCGTACTGTTGTCCCGTGTGCGAGCTTGCTACTACCGTAAAGTACCGTTGATCCGCCCCCTCTCTAATTCCCGCCCCCTGTCGATTTTCTGCTTGTGAAGCGACTTCGGCGTATACAACGAAAATACGATGTTGAACCGACGCATGCACTGCTGTACACAATACTTGCCAATCCAGGATCAAAATGTGCACAATCCAGCACATCGAGTCTGATCCTCTACGTTGTTGTACATCGTACTGCACTTGACAGCCTTGATCTAATTCCCGCCCCCTGCCGAAAACCCAGCTGGGAAGCGACATGGCGTGGGGGCGGATCAACGGTACTTTACGGTACTAGTACCAAGAGTGCATAACCCCAAGAGTGTGCAACTGTCTGCACAACCTCTATGCTGGGCTGCGACGGCAGAACTTCACATCACGTGACATGGTTTAAAAGGTTATGCTGGCAAACAGTGCAAAGTGACCACAAGAGAGTTGTACCCAAAGCTGGGCTGCGTACAACCCTGTATCTATCATGCACAGAGTGCAAATAATGTGTACGGGTTCATCACGTGATGTGAAGTTCTGCCGTCGCAGACCCCATAGCTGGAGTTGCACACTCTTGCCTTGGGTTATGTACTCTTGCTAGTACCAAGAGTACATAAACCTTTTTTTTGGTTTATGTACTCTTGCTAGTACTAGTAGCTGGTTGGGAGCAGGGAGTAGTAAAATACCATGGATTTTACTACTCCATGGTTTGGAGGCAACAAGACTCAAGAGACTGGCTATCATTGCTCTCTGAACCTGCACAAGTAACACATTTCCCCGATTACAGGTCGCATCCCTATTTCCAGGTCTGAGCCATAATTGTTTCAATACAGTTGAGACGTGCACCCAAGTAAGCAGGCCTTACCTGATCTTATCTTGGAGCAATCTGGTTACGCATGCACCTAAAAATAATAAAAACAATTCGTACTGGATCATATGCACGCGCTATCACATTCATAAATTATTAGATGCGTCTAACAAAAAACAAGGCTAGTTGGCCATTGGTTGCATCCAGCAGGCCAGGGAGTCGTAAAATACGACTCCCTGGATGCATCTCAGTAGTTTCAAGCAGGGAGTAGTACAATACCGGGAGATGACACGGGCACCTATCGTATAGTTCTACTGTAACTGCCTGGTTTCAAGCTATGTAACCATCAGGCAACATAATCTTTGGCACACACAGTCGACTGTATATACACACACATAGTCTACTGTATTATTCACACCAGTAGAAAGTCACACTGGATTGCTAGTCTTCACCCCATTCTTCACCCTTGAAAAAATGAGCACCTTGTATTCGGGGGAAACGGTACCCTAAAATACGAAGTAAAACACGAGGATGGTGCTGGAAATGCAGGTAATATGGAGGTTTAGTCTCACGCTGTCCCTCCAGGAACTTTCGATTCCGCGGCCGCGTTGTTTCCGCAATTTGAAGAAAAGTCCGCGATATTCGCGATATTTGAATAATCAGGTGTGCTGGAATGTACTCAGATGGAGAGCCAAGGTTTAAAGGGGAAGTTAAGGCAAAAATTAAAATTTCACCAGTTGTAGTCTTCGGGGTGCTGAGTCGAATGGTCTTGGTCCGAGGAAGCTGAGACGCTCCCTTCCTACTTGAATCCCAATCGAACTCGCGCACTTCCACCGAAACTGGGTGACTGCGCCCTACTAGATGGGGATTTGTATGCAAAATGTCACTAAAAGCGCCATTTCGTTCTTATAAAAGCACGGATGACCGCGATTGGCCCATATGTTGTAGTCTTTTGGACGCTGAGTCGACTGGTTTTGGTCCGAAAAGGCTGCGATGCAGCGTTCCTCCTTTATTCCCAATCGAACATGGTTGAACAAGCGGTCACGTGCTCCTGCGTACACCAGTCACCTGGTCACCGTGCCTGCAGGGTACAACTTACTAGCCTGTTTGACCTTTTTTGGGTGCAGTCCTGTCACTCGAGTTGAACTCGAGTTGAACCTTGGTGTGAAAGTTGTCGCCTGCTGGCGTGGTGACCAGGTGATTTGGGCACCCAGGAGCACGTGACCACTTGTTCAACCATGTTCGATTGGGAATAAAGGAGGAACGCTGCATCGCAGCCTTTTCGGACCAAACCAGTCGACTCAGCGTCCAAAAGACTACAACATATGGGCCAATCGCGGTCATCCGTGCTTTTATAAGAACGAAATGGCGCTTTTAGTGACATTTTGCATACAAATCCCCATCTAGTAGGGCGCAGTCACCCAGTTTCGGTGGAAGTGCGCGAGTTCGATTGGGATTCAAGTAGGAAGGGAGCGTCTCAGCTTTCTCGGACCAAGACCATTCGACTCAGCACCCCGAAGACTACAACTGGTGAAATTTTAATTTTTGCCTTAACTTCCCCTTTAATTTATACAAAAGAGAAAGACCAAGGAACTACAAGTTACGCTATACTGTCCACTAACACCACCAGTTACTAAACAATCAGCTCGTGCGATAACATTGCATGACACTGACCGACGGTACTGACGATCTACAACTAACTGTACAACTAACTGGCTAACAGCTCCAGCACATCTTGGATGCGCACTCCAACAGCCTTCCAACTTGGAAGGTTCTAAGTTATAGAAATAACATAAGGAAGGGAAGGTGAGCGCAACCAAGATAAGCACGAGCTGAAAGTCTCAGCTGTGAAGGACGTTGGCGGATGTTCATGCATGTCGATGACGATACTGGCAAGACCATTGGACAATACGGTCAAACCACGATTCCAGAACGCAAAGCAACATTCCACACAACTTGTGTGGCTCAAGAGATGCGAAGATCAATAAAAGGGGAAGCTATGCGAACAAGAATCATGAAAAACCCGAACGCCTCAGTAAAACCGCTCTGTACTTCGACTATGACAATTTAAATGGACAATAAGCAGCGGTAACAAGCAGCAGTTTCACATGCGTATAGCGTAACTTGTAGTTCCTTGGTCTTTCTCTTTTGTATAAATTTGAATAATCATCCGCGTTATTGTAGAAAATTGTCCTTTATACCGTATTTCCGCGCATATAAAGCCATGGCGTTATAGGTGAAACATTGCTGTTTTGGCCCAAATTTTTGGAGAAAATAGCCTTGGTTTTAATGCCATGGCGCTAAAAGTGAGAGACGCGTGCATGGAAAAAATCGGCAGAGTATGAACTTCGAGTACTCGTACGGTGACGTTGCACGTTCATGTCGAGCATCCATGTACTTTCAATTTTCCCTGAAAATTTCAAATTTTGAACCTATCGTGTACAAGGTGGCATACAAACTTGTGTGAAGGTGCGGTGGCGGTATGGCATGTGACAGTGGGGATGGGTACATGCAGAGAGAATCACCGCTACTGTAGGTTCACTGAAAGAATTGAACTCACCTTTAACGCCAGATGCAACTTCCTCCACATTGAATTTTGTTCACTTATAACGCCATGGCTTTATAAGTGAGGGTGGCCTTATATTCGGATATAACGCCATGGCTCTATATGCGCGGAAATACGGTACTTGAAAACACCCGCGATATTCGAGTCTTTCTTCGATGTTGTTTAGTGCTTCAAGCTCGTCAGTAGTTTACTTGTGAGATCGACACCAGAATGGAGAAGTTTCTGGACAAATCAGCGCCTAGCAAGTCAAAAAATAAGGCTCGCGTCGAGTGTTGTCCGAGGATGGCGGAAAGCTGTCTTGCAAGATCCTGTCAGGCAGATGAACACAGCTGCAATCGAGTTTTGTCATGCATGATTTGCGACCTACCGTACAAGAACAAAAAACGGTCGCAATTTCCGCAAAATAAATAAAAATATTTTACCACAATAATCCCACGATTTGTGGCATTTTACCTCGCAACCTTTTCCGCGACATTTCCGAAATTTCTCCGCAAGTTTCTTGAGGGACAGGTCCCACGTAACGGATACGGGAACGTGGGTGATACACGTAAAGTTCCTGCAATGGACCCAGGTTCGCAAAGTTGTGTTTAGTCACACGGAACAAACAAAACCATGAAGAGAAAGGCCCAAACCTGGTGAAAGACGAATCTTAGAAGCTAATCGAATATTTTAATTTCGTGCTTCGGAAACTTCTTCAGCTGAGCGCCCTCACAGCTTGCACAATGCGCTCCATTCTGATTTTCACCCACGTTCTGGCGGAACGTGGGTGAGCCTCCATACACGGCATGTCGTGAATCAGAAAACGGCTGCACGTGGGTCGCTGAGTATCACGTGGTACACACTCATCCAAACACACACAGGAACACTGCTGATTGTGGTGACGGAACACACATTCATAAGAACCACAGAGACGACAGTGGCCATGGCAGTATTTGGCGACAGAAAATTGATAGATAAATCATCGAAGATGAGATCTCAAAAAAAGTTTTGCCACAGCAAACGTACCGAGAATAAACAGAACCCGAGACTGGAAACAACTCTCGAATGTGCATATAAAGCCGGATGGAACATTCACTCTCCCCAAGTGTAAACCGGAATGTAGTACGAAACGATGTACAAAGAGGAGCAGGCATCAAGACAAAGCTGAAAGAAGAGCAGAGGCCAGAAGAGTAGAAAAAAACAGGATGTGTGTTGTATGCAAGGCAATGAAGATGTACTTTGTTACCTGTAGTATGTATGTGTGTAGGAGAGAGAGAAAGAGAGAGAAAGAGAGAGAGAGAGAGAGAGAAAGAGAAAGAGAAAGAGAAAGAGAGAGAGAGAGAGAGAGAGAGAGAGAGAAAGAGAGAGAGAGAGAGAGAGAGAGAGAGAGAGAGAGAGAGAGAAAGAGAGAGAGAGAGAGAGAGAGAAAGAGAGAGAGAGAGAAAAAGAGAGAGAGAGAGAGAGAGAGAGAGAGAGAGACATGCCAGCTCAACAATGGACGACGTGAGAGCTGCTGCTGCAAACACGTCAGTATGCCGGGGGGAAGAGCAACGAGTTAGGACTCAAGTTGGCGGTAACAGCGGTGTGGCAAAGGTCATTTCATTACATACAGGAGACCATCACGTCAGCGCATGGGCACGAACAGCTAAACCGTGCTACACCGGTTAGGAAAGAGCGGCCACTGCCAAAGAAGAGAACAGAAAATAGCACTACCAGACAGAAAGGCTCCTGTGAGAAACACTGCTACTGCAGCTGCTCGCGCCGGACACGATAAGCGTTGCCTGAGCGACTCCAACACATAATAACAGAGATCACACAGACAGCAGGAGCACAGTGGCTACTCTGTGAAGCAGAGGGTGCGCATGGTTAAGTAAAGCCGCTGGGCGTCACCCAACACAGAATGGCACCGGCGTCACCGTTGAAACTCAAGACTGCCACGAGAAGAGCAGAGCAATCGGAACAATGAGCGTACAGTGGAGGACGCGGTGACGGTGAAGGCAGTGCCAGAAACGACACGAAGAGCGTCGTCAGCGATACCGGTGATGGCGTGCTGAATACCTATCTCATACGGAAGTTCTTAGCCTGCTCAACCTGCATGATCTCACCCTGGAAATTGTAGTCAATCTTGAAGTCCAAGTCACGCTATTTCAGATAACAACAAGAACCACAGCACGGCAGCAGTGTAGAACACACGCACATTCAGAAAGGAAGTGTGAAGCTAGCGACGGTGCGCACGTGTATACATACCACATACACCAGTTAGGATGGCAGTGGCACTCAAGAAAAGCACCGAATATAAGACACGGTGAAAGGAAAGGATGCGAAGCCAGCGTCGATGCAGACACTGGATTGGTGCGCATGTATAGATGCCACACGCACCAGTTAGGATGGCCGTGGCATGCAAGAAAAATAAAGACATGGCGAAAGGCTGGAGGACAGCATGCTGCAGCATCAAGGGAAAACAGTACGTTCTGCCCAAAAGACCACATTTTCCAGTGCCATGGCCATGGCCAGTAAGTATTGGACACTCAAGTTAAGTTCGTCCAATGTGGAGTAAAGCAGATTGGTGACAAGAAGGCGGTAGATTGAAATGCACGGATCCAGAAAAAAATATCTTGGTATATCACAGGCGACACCTGTATATCACGGATGCATAGTTCGTATGACTTTGCCACATTCACGACACGACATTTTTTTGCTGAAAACAGCTTCAATCCCACGGATACACTGAAGGCTGAGTGGAACCACAACAAAATTTAATAACACCACTCCCCACACCACATTCGTCTTGGCAAGACACATACAGACACGTACTCGCAGGTAGTGAACAGTCGGGGAGATGTCCTATCTAGGACATCGCACTCTGAATGAGTCTGATTGGTTACCTGTCCCAGAGTTGTCATGGAAGCGTCGGTCGCGCACACGCGATGAAAAGAAGTGCTGCGTGAGCATTTCTGAATGTATGTGGAGGATGCACGATCGTAATGGCGATGGATTTCTTTCCGAATTGGTCAAGTTTGAGGGAATAGGCGGAGAATATCAGACATCGGCGGGGATTGAGGTAGTGTATATTCGATTCTCCATCGAATACCCGACCGAATGGCCGTTTTCGTTTGGGGATTTCATGTGGGGTTTCTCGTAGCCACGCGGCGCTTCTTTGGAAACGATTGGTTCTAATTTTGAATATTTTGCCTTTGGAATGTTTCTTCACCATGTTCACGCCCCGTGTGTTCATTTCGCCCCAAACCTGGCCATGCAGAGGAGGAAGACGAGCCAGCAGGCGCTAGGCCCGTAAATTACTGCCTGGAAGATATTATTTGGCCAAAGCCTGCTGTTGGCGTTTTTGATTTCTTGGATACGACAGCTCTTGGCTAAAACTGGACCTTGGACGGTCTTTCTTGGATATCAACCCAGGACGTGGTGGTCATGGACGTATCGCCATCGCTTTCAGCCAGATCCTTCTGCTGCCTGAAGCCAATGGCGAAAGTAAAAACTTTATCGCAGCAGTAGCTACTGCTCTGCTGAAAGTGCGAACACAAATTGCTTCGCCAATCCTCTTGTGCACTTGCAATTTTCAATGTGACCAAAACGATTCGCTTGCCAGTTCCTTTGTCCAGGCGTACTCCACAACGAGGAAAATAAAATTCGAGAAGGCAAGAGGCAAGATACGAATCTCGACTCGCTTGAGGCAAGCCGCCAGGAGAACGACAACTAATAATAATTATTACTTTTGAGACGAAAGGCCTCAGCAACGGTTGCGTTTGTTTTGAGTGCGACATGTTCATCTTCCTCGGACGCGACACAAAGTTTTGAGTCACGTGTCACGATTACTATGGGAACAGCATAGTATGTATGCTGGGGCATGCTGGGTTCCGTGATGTCCTAGATAGGACATCACCAGGACTGGTGAACACACTTATTGAGGAACACAAGCACACGAAAGCACACCATCACAACACAAGGACCGTCATGTACCTTGTTACGGTCGTTCTTGGTGACAGAGAAGTTTCCAGTCATCTCCTCGCCGTTCTTGCAGGTCAAGGGCTCATCAAGGTAGAACACGGTCTGCTTCCAATGTGTGTAGCGACTGTCCGGGCCTACAACATCAACAAAAACACACAGATCAGCAACATCCAGGAAAGCATCCCCACCCCCACCCCTACCCATAGCCACAAACAGCACAATACAGCAATACTCCCCCCCCCCCCTTCCAAGAAAAGAAAAGTGCACACGCAAAGACAAAGGATGGTGCGTGTGCATGCAAAAAAAGAAAGAACCCTGGGATACAACACTATGACTCATGCGATGAGATATAAAGTACATTTAGAGGGACCTTTCAAAGGCCTTCATGATGCTATGCTAGTCCTTTGACGTTGCACAGTACTTCAAGGCCTATAAAGTACTGATTTTACGACAATCTGAGGTACTAGCACATAGAACTGAATTAGTTAGTTTCACTGTTCTAGTACTCACTGGTGTTTATCCGCTTGATGCGATGGCACTTGTTGAATGACACAATGAAATAGCAGACAAAGGCGTCGAGGAAGTCCTGGCGACGGGTGTGCAGAGTGAACGGTGCGGAGAAGTTCAAGTCTTCGACCTTGACTGTGTAGAGATCGACCTCCTGCATTGTGAATACAGACAAAGCATATCCACTTGAGCCAATACATGCCACACCCCATTCACACACAAATATTTCTCAAGCATCCCATACTGCTTTTGTACACACGTGTGTGTGTGTGTGTGTGTGTGTGTGTGTGTGTGTGTGTGTGTGTGTGTGTGTGTGTGTGTGTGTGTGTGTGCGCGTTCCATGTTATCACCCACCTTCAGGAGATAGCTGTCGGTCATGATCTGCTGTGCATCCACACTGTCCACCAGGGGCTCCCTTAGTGCAACATCGCGAAGCACAGACATGTTGAAACCATACACACGCTCCCACCCTGCACAGTTAGCATAAGGACATACATACAAATCAAACTTCATGTCTTTGACAAGCAGAAACACTATACGGGATACCACACTGTACAAGACTTAGTGTAGACAGAACCAAGAATGCAGAGACAACAAAATAAACCTGGAAAATGCGTATACAGTGCCCTTGGAGCCAGAAAACCAGCCAGGTTGGGGTGCCCCTCCAGAAAAATTGCAGTACACATTCTATCGCCTCTTTAGTTTAGCCTATACATTGCGTCTGGCGAGCTCATTGTATGGTGAAAAGACTGGAGAGAGAGACTGCGCTTCCCATCAACCAACTAAGGGTGCGTTCTTAAATCCTCTCGGAAAAGTTCGAGAAGTGTTCTTATAGCCTCTCCCCAAGCTCTATGAACTTCAGAGGTGGTTGGAACTTGGAGATCCCCGCGTTTTGAGGTCAGCGCATGCGAACTACTGCTAAACGCCACGTGTTGATTATGAGTGTACGGCATTGCCTTTTCGCATACGCACAGTGCGTAATACATTCGTGTAACTCAAGATCGCGGCCCCTTTGGCGCTTCACATATGCAAAAGATCTTCGAACTCTTCGACACCCGTTCCTAAAATATCCCAGTTTTTCCGACTTCCAGGAGAGCTTTCTCCGAGAAGCTAGAGAAAATAAGAACGCACCCTAAACATCAGGAGTTGGAGTGCGTTTGACAAATTTCAAGTGGCAAGAAAATACCCAGAGGCAGAGGAATTCAGAGTACAGAACAAAGGTACACGAAAGGTCCATAGCATACCAGCAAAGGAGCATGGCTGGGCTTGGAATTAAAATCTCTGGACAATCCAACATGAAAAGGAACTAGCATTAGTTCCTACATGCACGTGTTGTTGAGATAAAAGAAAACAAATGAATCGCCTCGCACTCACAGTTGATCTTCTGCTCCTTGTAGCTTTGGTCCTCAATGCCGCATATCCGCAGAGATGCATGGTCGGGGAAGATGAGACCATCGGGTTTCTAAGCACCAATGATACATCCACACGAAATCAGAACATACAGACCATTGAAAATGCCCCCACCTGACGAGGATAATGCCACGTGAAAGCAGAGCAGCACTATTACAAAGTTGTTAGGACCGCTACAGGCCAGCCGGAACCAGTGAGCACAAACACCCAAGTAGTTCAACCACACTTGATAAGCCCGCACTCAGGCGAAGCCTAATTGCACCAACATTGCATTGGCATTTTCAGTAACGAGAATAAGAACTTGCCCAGTCAGAGAGTCACAGTTGACAACGGACCAAGGAAAACAAGAACGTCAGTGTGGTGAGAAGAAGAAGAGAAAACTCACCAGCCACTTGTCGCGGGCAACGAGGACGGTGTCCAACATGGACTCGTAGAACAGGCAGTAGCCCATCCACTCGCTGATGATGATGTCAACCTTCTCGACGGGCAACTCAACCTCCTCGATCTTACCCTTGATGAGGGTGACGACTGCAGGCATACAAGGCAGCAAGGTGTGATAGTGAGAACAATGTTTGAGTCAGAAAAAAGAACAGCACCGGGATGATGCTAACCAGCCAACGGGCACCTACAGCAGAAGTAACTGCAACTTCTGCAGAGGCATCCCACACCTACACTCTACAAGGCACGGAGAAAAAAGAACAGATTACTGCAATGCTAAAGCTGCAGACATGGGAAGAATAGTTATGTTCAAGTTCAGATATCGGCAATGAACACAACAAAAGTTTGGCGATATTGTCGGTCATATCTAGTCCATCTGCCAAGTCTGCTGCCTGTCCCTATTCTACATTGAAGTACCACAGACAAATGAAGAGATATTTCTTTATATAACGATAGAGAGAGAACATACCGTGGTCGTAGTTGTTGTCCTTGACGATGACCTTTGCGTGGTCAATGATACTGGAGCAATCGACCTAAAACACGGAGAGAGAGAGAGAGAGAGAGAGAGAGAGAGAGAGAGAGAGAGAGAGAGAGAGAGAGAGAGAGAGAGAGAGAGAGAGAGAGAGAGAGAGAGAGAGAGATTATAAACCCTGCAATGAGGATCCTATAGCAAGAGCTCATAGCAACTGTGTTCATAGGCCAGCTCACAGCCACACACATGACATTGTACTAGTAATTTGCCTGTGCCACGCTCCGTACAAAAAATCAAAACTGACAGCCTCTGGTACCAGTACAAACATGTCCCTCGAGTGCCAGAGCGATCCACAGTTATTTTCAAACCGCAGGAAGTGTTCCTATTTCCTGCAGGCAGTACCAATGTCGCTGACAACAAGTTCAAGAGATGTCACAGTTCTAATTGAGCAAGTCTCTCATGGGATATTAGTCAAGATGCTCACCCGAAAGAACTGCATCTTTCTGTCGCCGAGTCATGACGACTGTCACTCTCAGAGCAAAAACCAACATTTGCTGGAGTGCTAGAATGACAGTGCTTTATGCTGGCAAATACTACAATCAATCATGACAGTGATAAAAGGCACAAGTGAAGAGGAGGTTCTTTGCACTTCCCTGCTCCCTGCAGGCATGGTGATATTAGTGTAGTACACGTGGTGTATGAATGTTGATAGCCACATGCATGTACCCTTGGCAAAGTAATTTATATGTAAAGGATGAAGGAATGCAGTCGGACCACACTTTCGTACATGGTCTTTCCCCACTAAATATAGCAGAAAAAGAAGGAACTTACTCCAATAACCTTGGCAGCACCAGCCTTGGCACAGAACAGGCTGAGGATGCCAGTGCCGCAGCCAACGTCTAAGACAACCTTGCCCTTGAAAAGGTGCTTGTTCTGGTAGACGGCATCGCGGTAGGTCTTGGTACGCACCTCATCCTTAAGCATTTCCTACACACGGGATAGAATAGTGTACTGTTAGTAAACTTGTCCATGTCTAACTAGTACAAGAAACATAACAGCAATGCCAATGACGAGGACAAGTTCAAGAGATGTCACGGTTCTAATTGAGCAAGTCTCTCATGGGATATTAGTCAAGCTGCTCACCCGAAAGAACTGCATCTTTCTGTAGCCGAGACATGACGACTGTCACTCTCAGAGCAAAAACCAACATTCGCTGGAGTGCTAGAATGACAGTGCTTTATGCTGGCAAATACTACAATCAAGACAGTGCTAGTAGCCACAAGTGAAGAGGATACATAGTCATAATATTATGATCCGGTGACAATTTTACAGGTGTGGACATCGACTCCGGCTAAAAGCACACGCAGCTGTGGCATTGCAATAATGTTTGCTCGTGTACTCATGTGGTATGCACTCAAGGCAGAGTGGCCTAAAACAAAAGGTCTCGCCACACATGTGTACATCTGATACTCATCAGCATTTGAGATGTAGCACGAACCCCCTGCACAGTGAAACGCACACACTTGGGGCCCCAATCATTCAACAGAATTACAATGTCCACAACACCTGATGTGTTTGAAACTACACCTATTTCCCATGTTTACAGTGTTCGTACCACAACAACATGGCTACACACTTACCTCGTGAATACCGTAGTGGGCATAGGAATCAAAGTAGTAGTCCTTGCTGGTCATATCGCCAGCTTTGACTGCATCAGGTGCCACCTTCATGGGACAGAAACACACACACACACACACACACGCATGCACACACACAAACACACACACAAGTGCGTCACTCTTCAGGAATCATCGTTGTACTGAAGAACAAATTGAAACTAATGAACAACATATGGAAACCAAAGTTTGAGAAGCAACACATAATTACAGCACTAAAATATCAAAGTGCCATTTCTAACAATGCATGTGCGAACAAGTTAAAAGGCAGGTAGCAGTACTGGGAAAGCAAAGAGAACGAACATGTTTTCACAGTGCTGGCCAAAGAAATCCAACCTCATGAATAAAATAGTGCCAGGCGCTACGCAGCCCTAACACTACACACACTGCTCTGTGCCCTCGATGACAGCGCAACTTTATTCATGATGTTGGATTTCTCTGGCCACAACTGTACATGAACGTGCAATATATCTAGTAGGGGTCAAACGGTTAGTCCGATTAACCGGTTGCAGACCGGTTACAAGAATTAAAGGTTAACCGATAAGATAACGGTTACGCAGTAACTTTTCATTCAATTTTTCAAGTATCAGGACAGTATGCACTTTCGCAGGCTGTCGCACGCGTACGCAATTTTTGGGCTGTCAACTCGGTCATATCTGGTCTCTTGTGTGTGAGAGTATGTATGAATGAGCATGCAAGAGAATGTACATGTGTGCGTTGTACTGCATAGGGTACATTTTTTGAATGAGTATAGTCAAATATACGGTTAAAAAAGAGTCCGCAGGATTGCCGTGGCTTATAGGTTATAACCGTTAAACCGACCGTTAGCTTAGCAGTTAACCGTCAGGGGTAAAACCGTGACCGTTTGAGCCCTAATATCTAGCACTGTGAGAGCAGCCAACATGCATAAAGCACCTGGTACTCATACATTGTAACTAGTAAGTCACGCACTGGTGCAGTCACGCAGTTTCTTTGCCAAGTATTGCATGCGTGACATACGAGCCACTGTACATCACACCTCAAGTATGGCAAGAAATTCTCAACTAATCTTCTGCGATGTCAATGAAAGAAGAACACCACTTAAATGGGACAATTTAAAATTGTTTTGTTGTTCAGTTTGTCTCGTTAGTCTGAGCTCCCCTGATGAGATCCAAGGTCGCAGCAGCTAGCTGCTTTGAGAGCAAGAAACTTTGGCAGTATTGAATAAATATAAAGCGGCGCAATGATAGATTTTTTTTAGAGATTGGCTTTCAACGTGATGACATCAGAATTGACAATTCTGAAGAATGGCAGAGCACATTTCAGTACGTCAGTAACAGTATCAGATGGACTGGTGCTACGCTTCTTTAAAGAAATGGCGCGAAGCCAAACAAATTCCACTCCAAAAATCGGAGTTGCACGTGCTGGACGTGATGAAGCAAGCTGGAACAGCACAAAGCACCAGGCAGTGCTCAATGAATAGCTAAATTCCTCCTGGAAATATACCGGTACTAGTAATGTATCCGCTACGTGATGTAAATGAATTGAATTGAATTGAACACAAAATTCAGCCAAGGCCTTGCTGCTGATTCAAAAATACACATAGGCAATCAAAGGATGAAGATATTTTGATCCTGGCTTTTCTGATGTGGTACGATCATGAGCGACAGTTGGCTAGCCGAGATAGTATAGTTGACTTCAACTTCAAGCATAATTATTATCAGAACTTCAAAATGGCCACGTGGTAGAAATTTGCAGTGAAATTTTATAGAAAATTTGTTAGCCCCACACTTGCACTGGAGAATGAATGAGACAACAGACTGAGCTTTTGACAACATTTAAAATCGAGGCACTTCATTCATAAACAGTCATTAGAGAAGTCAATGCGACCAGTTCAAAGGCCAGGGGAATGCAAGCCATTCTCCCCGTGAAGCGGCAAGTGATTCAAAATCGTCGCGCAAATTGCCATTGAACTAACAGCTGGGAAGTGAGGTTTACCTACACACTAGAAGACACTCACCTCCATTGGAGCAGCAGCTGAGGCCTCTACACCGTTCATGACTGAAATAAGAGAGGATGTCCACGACACGCGCCAGGACTCACCAAAACACGAATACACACAAACAAGAAAGGGTCAAGGAGACGTTTGCACGAGTACCAGATCAGAGCATGGGGCAAGCCGCAAAAAATCGATTTTTCCTGAAAAATAGCGCTCACAGCACAGAATCTGTTGTTTTCCGCAGCCATTTCCACCGAGACCGCGCATGCACGCCTCTAGTTGCGCACACGTACACCATGCAGTCGATGCGCCAGAGCGAAAAAAAAGCCGTTTTTTATTATCCCGGTCAGCTCATTTTGTGCAGAGGTGAAGATGACGATTCCGTGAAGAAGTAATGGCTGACGTTGTCGAACTTTCAGACCCACTGGAGGCGTTTCACAGCCTGGAGCCCGCCGATAAGGAATTCGATGTGACTTGAGTAAGTACTAAAGTAATCCGTAATATTTTTGGGGTCAGCTATTGAGCCATTGGGAAGTTTCGTGTCGTCGTTTTCTTACAGTACAGTCGTAGAAATTTCCTCCCTTCTTTGGTATTCAGCCAGTAATGGACTCCATCAAATCTTACACAATATCCGAGATAGCAGAAAGATAGTCCCAACCAACCTGTGTAAAGATTTGGTCATGTCTATGTCCAGACCTACTGCTAACTCAAATGGCACGAAATGAAAGAATTTTTTTGTAATACGTGTAAAATCCACGAAAGTGACATTTCATCACACCTAAGTTTCAATATATCCCAGGTTACAATAGTTTCTCGCCCATCTAGCAGCAGATGGATTGTGTTCCCGGTATATCACCATTTCCAGTGGAAGTATTGTGTTCCACATCTATCCATGCTCATTGAAACTCATGCAAATGTGTATATTTGTGTATTTCAGGTCAGAGTTCGCAGTGCATTCCATGTTTCTAGCATATACGCCATAATTCCAGTAAACAATAACACGCACGCATCACCTGTGTGCACATTGACTCAATCTTGGTCCAATTCGTTGCTGGTTTCTTGCTTTTCAGTCTCCTCAAATTAAACAACTTTTTGCTTACTGGAACTGTTGGATTCTTCCCTCGCGGAGGTGTTGTTGAAAGTGTGGCATTTTAGCCCTGGCCTGCATAACAGATTTGCCTTTTTGCACTCGCATTGTATGATCCTGCAGCCGGACTTGCACCCACAGCCTTTTGTCAGGCCTGTGACAGGCTGTCTGACTGCTGCAAGATGTTTGTCAGAGCCCCACACCATGACTAGGTCATTGGTTCTTCACCATCCCTACCTTGAAGAGGTGGGTAGTTGATAGTAGATTTGTTGCTTAAATTAAGCAATACTCCAGAGACAACAATTCCAGTTCAGCTGAATTCCACGTGTAGGTTTTACGGCACCGCCATCACCTGACTCCTCGGTGAAAGATCCCCATCAAAGTACATGTTTGTTCACATTTTGAGTCTTGCAGTCGTAGTGTGATTTCGTCACAAATACACGTCAACTGGTTGTACAGCTTCATGTTCCACTACATGTATGTACGTGTATTGGCAATTCAGCATCGCAGTGATACTTCAGTACACTGTATAGCAAACCTCCAATACCTTTCAAATTGGTCTGTACCGATATAGCGTATTGCATGGTGCAAGGTTCTGCATAATAGTACAAGTACTTTATATCCCGTAGTATGTTACATGTATATCCATACTGTCAGGTGTCTGCATAACCCAACCCCACAACCCACAAGCGTGCAACTCTGATTTGCGGACTATGGGCTGATTCCCCAGTTCGTGGATACGTAATGTGGGCCGAGCGCAGTGCCAGAACCCACGTGCAGTCGCATACTCTTGACGTCATGGACTCTTGGTACTACTAGTACTTCATACTGAAGTTTCACTGTGTGGGGAACCCGCCTGTCTGTGTTAGTGTTTTGCTTCGACGTCGCTTTGTCTCAGTTTCTTCCTCAGTGCTTGTGATTGGCATGTGGCAGGCAAATGGCCGTGGAACTTCAACAATTGGGCTCTAATGTGACAACTGGATGGTAGTTGATTTACATGTTGGACTGGTGTGCCACGTAGCCTTCTGCTGGCATCCTGGCACTACATTTTGTTGCCAGGGTACCTCTTTGTCGATTTTGTCCACAGACACCACGCTTACACTCGGCATGTATACATGGAGCTGCAGGTCTTGAATGCCTTTCCCTTTTGCTATGTTCACCATTGTCATTCTGTATGTATTGTAGGTATTATGGCCAGCCGTTACTCCCCATTGAGAAAAGATCCCTGCAAGTGTACTTGACTGGCTGTATGTGTCTAACACGTCTGCAAGCACCAACTGAAGTGGGTGAGTGCGAACTGGATGACTTACTGTAATGTCGTTTATGAAAGCCAGGCGTATTTCTGTAGAAGCCGGTGTGGTGGCTAGGCCTCTATTTACATTATGTTGCATTATGTTTGTAGTCAAACAAAACTTTTTATGGTTGCCGATGCAAAATCCACACTATTGTGCTAATTGCCTATCTTGGAACTCAGGCTTGTGTTCAGAACAGGCTTCTGCATAAGACAGGCTTTTATAGAAAGCAGTGGAGTAAGTGAAGGACTGTTTATACTACTTGTAGACACCACAGGTACTACAGGTATGTGTGTGAAGCTTCATTCCAGGGGAGAAAACGAGAGCGAGGTGGAATTGTCACCATCCAATATTGTCCACCCTCATGACCATAGCTTGGGGTGGATAGTCTGACAAACAGGCAATAAGTCCTTTATTCTTAGTTTCTCGGTACTCTCCTCCACTGTACATTGGCCTGCTGTAGGTCAATTTGGTGGATAACTTTGACAGCTGTGGCCATAGACTTTCGGAGGAATACCCTTTACTACATCGTGTTTTGGGGTTGCATTCGTCCTCCAGGGTTGTGTGTAGGCACCTGGACAGAGCCTGGTGCAGAGCTTGGGTGGTACCCAAACGGCTCACATGAGCATGATGCCACCTTTCTTAGCTTTGGGGTATGCAGTAGGAATGTGTGCCACTAGTCCCTCCTGCATCAGGGACAGTAGAGTTAGTAATGCTTGTAGCGGGAATGTTATGTGTCGGGTATTCGTCAAAGTAATAATATATTTATTCCATTTTAATAGCAAATAATGTTGCTCCATTGTGTAACAGTTTGTCTGCTACTACTTATACTCCGTCAAGCATTTCATCTTCTGCATGGTATTGTACTGCTTTGTCTGGTTTATTGCTGCCAGGTGCTGCACAATGATCGATGCACGTAATCATTACCCACAGCAGTGGTGTCGGTCAGTGTGGTGTAACTACCTTCCTCAACAATCACCAGCTGCTGGCTTGTGACAGTTTTGACGAAAAATAGCCGGTCTCTCTCATTCCGTTATCCCTTTGTCGACTCTGAGATGCTCAACAACCACATAATTTGGTACTTCCCGTTTAGCCTAGTATTTGCAGTATTTGCTTCCTACACCAGCCACAGTGCTTTTCTTCCCACGTTCTTTTTTTCCGCTGGTTTGGGATTATCTTTTGTGTTACATTCTTTCGTTTTCTGTTACATCCTTTTCCTGTTCTTGTGTGTTAACGTTTCAGTGGAATGGTGCAATGCATTTCCAACCAATACAGTCATTCTGGTCGAAATTGGATTCAACTGTACAGGTTTCCAATGCTTATGGCGTACTTCTGATGTATTCTCAGTCGTATTGAGGACACATGGGTGGGTAAACCGCTTATAGGGCGGTTCTCATCGGCAGCAGCAGGTACACTGGGACCCACGTGGAGATTGTGGGTGGTGTCCAGCTAAAGCTTTCGTGCTTTGGCCTATGCCAAGGGCATGATACGTACCCTGTGCATGGAAAGACGATGAAAATCAGCAGCTTTGCAAATGCACCTCTACAGCCCGTTTCCGCAGTGACACACATTGTGGCTGTTTTTGATCCGTTAGTACACTATGTTTGCTGCCGCAGACATGTGTCAGTATTGTCCGGTGCTACTGCTAACTCAAATGGCACGAAATGACAGGTTTCTCGTCGCTCGTCAATGGCTGAAGCCTTTCTTCTTACAAACCCGCCCGCCATGCGAACGGTTTAGCAAAACCACCACCCTCGCTCATGCAAACACTAGGGCACACGTATAGTATCAACGGAAAATGCACAACAATGCCTCTGAATACTCTTCTTCTTGAGAAAATTGGCATTGACTGCCCGACTGTCGATAAAAAATACGTCTCCAAAATGCAGCTGTTTGCATTTGAATTTTCCCGCGCTTTGGCATTTGGGATAATAAAACTACCTCTAAACGTCGACTTTTCGCAAAACGGCGCATCGCCTGCATGTACACGGTTGATCATGGTTGATCGACCCGGCCGGCCTGCTTAGTGCTTGTGCAGTTTTCGTGTAGCCTACGCGCCCGGCTGGGGCATGGTGGGGGTAGATCAGGGAATCGTAAAATTTTACGATTCCCTGGGGTAGATCTACGGCGGATGTCGAAGCACGTACCGCTGGTATACGTATACGCGTACCGCACTGCATGCTGTGCACCGCGCCGGTGGTTGTACAAAATCTGCCCGGCGCGGTGTGAATGGAAAGAACAACCCCGGCTAGGCTCCTGCATGCTGTGAAGGCGGTCTCGGTGTGCTTGACCCGACCGCACTGAGGACGCAGAGTTCCTCTCGATCCGTCACCTCGTCGTTGGTTGAGAAAAAAAAGAACATCGTCGTTTAGCGCCCACACTGGGCCACAGCTTGGTAATGCGCTAGCCGCCGTCAGCCGGCTAGCCACATGAAAACCAAGGCCGCAGGGCAAGGTACGCAATGAAGTTTGCCGCCGCTGCTGCGTCGCTCATCAGCGCAGCTCCAGAAACTCCCGAAAGTCTGCAGCGTAGACTACACTGTAGTACGAGTCTGTCCACCTGGCCCGCGAATCTGGAGCATCCAGCTGGCTAACCGTTACCTGCCGTCTACTGAAGGCTCATGAGTTCTCGCTACCCAAGGCAAGAGTGAGTTCAGGGATGGTCAGCATCATGGTCTTAGTCTAGCTCTGCACCTGCGGTATGGATGGCAGCCCAGCTGTAACCGTTTGAAGGTATTCTTGGAAAAGACAATGCTTGCTCAAGGCAACACAACTGATATAGGGCACTTCGTGC